GTTCTACACCCTGATGTAACTTTATTGATTCTATGTACTAATAGTAAATCAGCACCTTGTGATCTAAGTAGGCGTGATGGTTCCTAGTATGAGAGAAGTTCCGTCAGGTACTAAGGGACGAGTCCATTTAGAGCTTTATAGGTCAGTAAGAGAATTTTGTCATCGATGCGAAATTTAACTGGCAACCAGTGTAGGTTTGATAAAACTGGGCTGATATGGTCAAATTTTCTGGTTCTTGTGAGGACTCGGGCGACAGCATTCTGGACTAACTATAGCTTGTTAAGCAGCGGGAGGAGGAGGACAAACGAAACCAGCGGGAGACCTGTTTGTTCTGTTCATTCCACTGTTGGTGATTTTCAGTAATAATTCAGGTTCTGTTCAGGAGGCGTCGGACTCGGCTGGTCTTGACAACAAACGAGGAAGTGCTGAAAGCTCTGTGATGAACTCAGACTTTAGTTTTGTGTGTAAGGGCAGTTTGTGATGTGTAAACTGACCTGAAAAGATATTTTTATTTCAGTTTAAACATGACCATCATTCTCGATCATCTCCATCACCATCTCTATCATCATCATCATCATCATCATCACTCCTGGTGAGTTTCATCTTTCAGTTATTGTGTTAAATTTCAGATTATTTAATACAGACTCATTAACATACAACTGTGGTTTAGTTCAGTGCCAGAGAAGCAACTGAAAATTTTCTCCTTCTCTCTGTGTCTTCATCACTGCTGTTATCATCATCTCAGTAAGATGTTTCTGTGTAGCTTTTGCAGTCATTCATAATCTCAGGCTTTTTAGACCAACAGCTTTTACCAAGATTTTTCAGGGTTTTCAGTGAGGATCTCCACTTACTTTTCATCTAATATCTCTCTACAGGATGGTAACATCTCAGACCTCAGATGTTCATTAATCTCTAATAAATATCTTCTTTTACAGCTGGAAACAGTGCTGTAACCACTGTAACTGGATACATAGGGGAGTCAGTTCAGATTAAATGCTCCTACGTTTCTGGGCATGAAAAAGACAAAAGTATCTCTGCAGAGGAAAAAGGAGAATGTTCTGCTTGGGGAACTAGAGATATTCCTGTTCAGTCTGGATCTGCTGAAAATCAGAGATTCTCTCTGGATGATGACACAGCAGACAGAGTCTTCACCATCACCATCACTGATCTGACAATAGTGGAGGATTGAGGAACATACTGTTGCAGGATATAGAGATGAATTTATTGTCTCCAGTGAGAAGTGCTAAAATGCTTGTACTAATCTAACATTGTATCTATCGTCATTGTTCAGATACCACAGTCTCTACTACTTCAGGTTTGAACACATACTGTATTTTCACTGCATTTAAAAATAAAGAAAAATGTGTATTTACAAGTATTAATGAAGATAGGCTTAAATAAACTGATAGGGAATCTCCTGACCTGCCAATCCTGAATAGGCAATTTATGGAGGATTTTTACATTGAAAGTTCAACATTGTAAGTGACTGTCATAACCCTGGAGAACTGAGGATGTTTGCCTAGAATGGACATAGGACTGAACCACAATGCTGTAAAAAGCTAATTATATCTCCATAAAGTTATTAAAACTATAAATACAGGGTGATTCAAAAAGATGAATCCGATTTCAAAGTGCCGTATTTTTGCAATGTGAATCACCTAGGAACCAATCACATACCAATTGAAAGAGGGGGTCATAGAGTTTCTGACTGTCACTGAAAGTTGGCTCATTTCAGTCTGAGAGGAGATACAACCCCTGAGCAGAAAGCGTTCTGCGTTTCCACTTCAATAAGAGTCAATCAGTCATAACTGTGCAGTGTGACTTTCATGAGCAGTGAACCTCCAACAGCTCGAGTGTTCGTTGTTGGTTCCACAACACTGGATGATCTCCGAAATCCCAATGAAAGAGCCGTGAGTGCAGTGACACCCGATATGCTCAATCGAGTATGGGATGAATTTGACTATGGCGTTGATGTTGTCCGTACAGCTGGAGGAGGTTCATATTGAGCACTTGTACAATTACATAGTAAACTTTATGCTCACTTAAACCATTTACAGTTTACTGCATTGTTCTGTAATGATTTACAAGAAATAAATCATTTTGAAATCAGATGAATCTTTTTGAATCAGCCTGTACTGACTGATTTTCCACTTGTGGCCTGTTTGCTTCTAAAATTCCTCATTTCTAACACTCTTCATCAGTTGTTAGTCAATAAGCTCAATAAAATGCTATAATGTTGAAATCAATTAAACATTTCCAAACATTAACATTAAACACTCAGCAGAAAGTGTATGAAGTATTTGAAACTGTTGGAGCATCATACTGTATTATTCCACACTTGCCCATACAAATGAGCATCATTTCTTTTAGTTCTTTTCTTCTTCCTGATGACCACCACTGTTTGAATTGGTCATTATGTGCTCCAGGGTTGCCAGAGTGGCATTTTAACCAAAAAAGGCATATCATGGTTGGATTGAGTGAGAGAAAGGTGCTTCAAGATGTTTACAATTAAAAATATCTGCAGGTAATGAGAGTAAGTATTATTTTATTGGTAACACTTGATTTTCAGGTCTGTCTCTTAACAACTACTTAAGTAGTAGTAAGGAATTAATAATGATCTAGAAAATAGAAACATGTATTTGGTAATCAGATAGATAGAGAGATAGATAGATAGATAGATAGATAGATAGATAGAGGGATACAACAAGCTTAGAAATGTATTATACTTTTATAAAATAGAATAATAAGCTGTTCTGTAATTTAGTTTTTAACTGTTTGTTGAGTGTTTTTGTGACATGTCAATCAAGAAATATTAACAAGTAAATCACACTGACCAAATGTGCTGGTAAATGGTCCCGTTTCATTAATTGTGGATACCTGAACACTGCCACTTTAACTTACAGTACAGTTAAGAAGTGCATAATGATTTCTTTAATTACATTAGGTCATTAAGTTGAGCTGAACAGTCTGGAAGCTAAAGTCCATATTAACAGTTTATTACCTGGACATGAGCTCATATTATAGTAAAGCAGTGTTTATTAAGAATAAATAAGTTCTATTTTTGCATTTAGGGTTTTCAGTTCTGTACTAATAAAAGAAAGGGAAATATGAATATTAGGAATATTAGGAATTATCTCAGCTAGCAGTAAAGGGACTTATAGTGGTTTGAGAGAAAAGCTTTTGTTAAGTACAAAACTACCCAGGATGCATTATGAGCAATTCCAAAAAAGTCTTTTATCATATATGATTAGGTACAATATGTGCTGCTTTTTAAATGTAGATGTTTCTGAGACAGGTTTGGAAGCCACATTTGAAGTTCTCAGTAAAGCCTCTACAAAGCCTGTATGTAGAGCTGGTGTGGTTTGAGCTCAAGCTCAAAACAAGGTCAGGCTTTTACAGCAGGGCCACAGGCCAGCAAGAGGAACCAAACCTTAAACTAATTAGGTTGAGATAAAGCAGGTTTAATTCAGATTATTAAAGACAGTGTACAAGACTGATATTGTAATAAACAACCTTTTAACCTTTCAGTGTTTATGAATGGCCTCTGTGGATTAGCATTAGTTTTGCTAAATTTACAGAATCACCTTGGGTTACCACTTTGATGAAACCAGATTTAGCTTTGTTAGTATTACGACACATTCTGAGATGCAGTAGATTTAATTAATATACACTGACATATTTTTTGTGAAAACATTCAGAATTAAAAGTGCATGATATCCTATTAGCATAATAGGAAAAAAAAGATGACAAAGCACATTCACTTTGCAATAAAAAAGCTCTGACTGTGGTTGGGTTGCTGTCTTTGCAGATGAGGTGGGGGGCCCATGCACACAGAAGAGGAAGACCACATCTAGCATTACACATGTGCACATAGCTACTGAAATGTTCTCACTAGTTTAGACACTTCAGTCTTTTGTCTTTATTTGGATGTTCAGAAAGAGGCTTGTCCTGTTATGGTGAGTTTAATCCATGTTGCCTTTATAACTGAACTGAAATTGAATTCAGCTGTATTAGTACATGATTTTAGTTAAATTCTTTATGTTATTGAAACCAGTGAATTTTAGACACACGTTGCCCTTTTGCTTCTATCACATTTACCTTATTTATTACAAATCTGGGAATCTCTGTAAAGCTTCTTTTTGTGACAAAGTATGTTGAAAAACTGTTATTCAAATTAAATTTTATTAAATAGTAATAAATGAACTGAACTGCTGTATCTGATTAGAGTAGGAAATCCTTACAGCTACATTCAGTGGTTTCAGAGGATCAGTCTTACAGATGCAGTGATTATGAGCCAATAAAGATAAATTAATAAAAATGATGACTATGATTCCAGTGCTGTTTATTCATTGTGCAGATTTGTTTAATGATGTCAGTAAGAACAGCTTTTCTACGCCTCTCTCTGATCTCTCTGCCTGTGATTCTAGGTGAGTCTGTACTCTTCAATTAGACTTTTGTTGGGGGACAAACATCTCAAAACAATGTTCCAAACTGTTCACTGATAATTTATGTAATGTACCATTGCTTAAAGTTTTCACATGAACCTTCTCAGAGCTGAAATAGTCTTGAATGTTCACACTTAATGAGACTCATTGGTTTGCTGAGCCCCCCACATCCTCTCACCCACCGTGCGAGTGCAGAACTCACTGAGCTTTATGTGCTTTGTGGTTTTGCACAAAATTAGGTCAGCTTTTCACTGTAGTAGCACAAAGTGGCACATCTGTGAGCTCCACTCGCAAAAATAACAGTTCTTGGCTTTTAAAAAAAAACAAATTTTTGTTTTGCTATAGAATCTTTACATTTTCCGATGATTCTTTAAACTTCTTCATACACCCATCTCACTTACAAAAGTATTTTTTTTTTAATGACCCAAGTCATTATTTCAGAAAACCATAAGTCATTATTTCAGAAAACCATAAGTAGCTCTTCTATGGCATTGTTCCAAAGAACCCTTTTAGGAACTTGTATTTTAAAGAGTGCACAGTAACTCTGACTGTCGTATGGGCTCCAGACTCTGTAATCAGCTCTTTCATGCATCATATGTTTCAGGAGCTTTTGGAACAGAGTGGAGTGTGAAGTACAACCAACAGGAAATATGTGCTTTAAAAGGATCCACAGTGTTTATGAATGGAACTTATACTCTCCCAGAAGGTCTTACAGTGATGGAGTCTTTTTGGGTTATACATCCAACTTCAGGGGTGGAGTCGACTGATCTGAGTAAAGACCCAGATTATTCAGGGAGAGTTGAGTATTTAACTGATGAACAGAAACACTTCTCCCTCAAACTGATTGACGTAATGAAGAAGGATGAAAATCAATACTGCTTCAGAATCAAAACCAGTGTAGAAAAAGAAAAATGGCTGGGTTATCCTGGAATTATGCTCAGTGTCACTGGTAAGTTAAATCATCACATTTTCAAGCTATTAGAAACAGTCCATGTACTTGATTAATGAGTGCTTTAGAAGTGTGTGCTGCATCATGATGGTAATTTTATTAAGATGTTATGTAATATCCTGCACTTTTACAACCCCAATTCCAAAAACTTGGGACGCTGTGTAAAATGTAAATAAAAACAGAATGCAATGATTTGTAAATCTCATAGACCCATATTTCATTCACCATAGAACATAGAACACATATCAGATGTTGAAAAAGAGACATTTTACCATTAACTCATTTAGAACTTGATGGCAGCAACGTGTCTCACAAAAATTGATCTGCTCTAGTGCATTTAAATCAGTTTGTCTAAATGTGTCTTGTAGAAAGCTTCCTAGAAAAGTGGAAGCTGTTCTAGCTGCAAAGTGGGGACAAATCCATATTAATACCAATTCCTGATGCAGTCAAATTACAGACTGGTAATCCACTTATTGCCTTTGAGGTAGTATAATACAAAACATATATTATAATGTAGGTAATTCCACACCTCCTGTCACAATTGGAAAAGAAACAGCAATTCTTGCAAGTTTAATGTTTACTCTATTAAGCATGTGTGATTACATAACAGAAAGTGTGCTGTTATTTACAGCAAGATACGTTTGTGTATTACATAAGTAAAAACTGACATATATTTTCATAAGCTACATAACTGCATCTGTTACAGTGAATGTATTACCAGTAGTTATACTGTTGTTGCATGTTTGTTAATCTGTAAGTACACAGTTAATAGAGACCCTTAATATAAAGTGGGCTGAATAAAAAAAGGACTAATGAGAAAATGTTGAGAAAGTATGATTTAACACAGACATCTCTGACTAGCTGCAGCTTTTCATTTTGGATCTGATATTTATCTCATTATCTCAGAGCTCCATGTGGAAACTCCTGAAGAAGTGACAGAGGGAGAAACAGCAGATCTGACCTGTAATACCACCTGCAGTCTGACTGACCCAACATTCATCTGGTACATAAATGGACGTTCTTTAACCTCAAAGACCATGAAGAACAACCAGCTCCACTTGCAGACAGTCAGCAGTGAGGATGCAGGCAGTTATAGCTGTGCTGTAAGAGGATATCAACATCTCAACTCTACTGCTCACAACCTCAGAGTCAGATGTGAGTTATGTCATTTTTCCCAAAGTAAATCAAAGTAAGATTTTACAAATGTATCCTGGCAGTCAGGACTTGATTAACTGCTTGTCGTCTTATTTAATTGGAGCATCTGCATACTTTAAGCAAGATATTCAACTGTGTAATAAATGTTTAATATTTTAAAATATGCAAAGCTGCATGAATACAAATCAACTAATTATTTTATTTTGTCTAGATTCTCCAAAGAATGTCTCAGTGTCCATCAGTCCCTCTGGTGAAATAGTGAAGGGCAGTTCAGTGAATCTGACCTGCAGCAGTGATGCAAACCCACCTGTGAAGAACTATGCCTGGTTTAAAGAAGGTGGAACCTCACCTGTAGGATCTGGACAGAGTTACCGTCCTCTACAGAGTGGATCTTACTACTGCAAGGCTCAGAATGAAGTTGGAGCTCAGAATGCAACAGCTGTGTCAGTGATAGTACAAGGTAATAAAAAAAAACAATTTTGTTAATAATAAATGCAAACTATAAGGTGCAGAAAGCACAGTGGTACAGTAACATTATCTGCTGTGTTCTAGCTGTCGTGCATAATTAATATCAGTTTCCTCTATTTTAAATTTAATACGTATTTTTATGCACATTGCTTTTTATTTTCTTGTTAATATTTCTTTTAAATGTGACATTGTCACTCCTTTCCATGCAGGGTTTCCATATGCTGTTGTTTATGCAGTTACTGGAGTTGGATGTGTTGTCCTAGGTGTCATTGGCATTTTCTTCATATGGTATTCAAATATCTAATTTCCTGATATATTTTGATGGTTTATTTTCACAAGTATACTCCCATTAAAAAAAAAAAAGAAATGGGCCAAGCCCAACATGGCAAATCAGCTTTTAATGGTCTCACATCAAATCATTGACAAACAAATGATGTTAGAATGGAATGTCTTTTCTCTTTGATTTCTTTTCATGTTGGAGTCGTGTGGGTAAACTTGCAGATAACCTTTTATAAAAAGAAGAATCAACATTGTCAAAGTAGTTTGTTTTTAATATGAGCCCAAATATCCCCTTAGGGTTTAAATCTGGAGTAAAACAATCAGTAAAAACTATTGTGTGTTGGGATTGGCCCTTTCTTTACTACTTTGAGTGCAGAGACTCTTCTAGTACTGTTGAAAAGGCATTTTTCAAGTAAAATAAAAGACCTTCTATTAATAGCAACATGCTCTCCATTGACTGCAGGAATAAAAGAAGAGTTAAAAAGAATGAAGACCTCTTAGTGGTAAGTGAAGCTGTACATACTAAAAAATAGCCCTCTCAAGGAAAACACTGTGTCTTTCCTCTTCTGATCCTCTAGATGGCAGTGTTATGTCTATGTCACCTTCATTTTGTTTAGAACTTCAAAGAATACTTCAGTATTTTTCAACCTACCATCGGAGTAACACATCCTGTTACAGTCATGAAAAATCGTATTGGAATAATAGCAATTCACACATGTGTAATTACATAAGAGAAAATATGTTGTCAACTAGCAACATGTACCTATGTAATTAAATGAGTAAATACTGACATTGATACACAGGTGTATTTACATAAGCAGTAGTAATGTAATCCATGTGTAACAGTGAATACATTATCAGTAATTACATAGTTATTGCATGTATTGTTAATGTGTAACTACGCAGTTATTAGACACAATATGACGTGGAACAAAATTTGAGTTTTTACAATGTCTTCATTTATCATATTACAGAATACAATCTATTCAGAGATTTGGGCCAGATCTGCCACCAGTGATGCAGCAATGAACAGATCAGCCTCTCAGGAAGTTATTTATGCCAATGCTTCACCCAGTCGACCTGAAGAAAACAGCAAAGCTGAGAGTTCTCCAGTAAAAACATCTGTCTGTACAGCTGCTATGGAGGTGGAGGTAAAAGAAGAGTCTCAGGAAGATGATGTTCAGTATTGCAGTGTCCAATTTCATCAATCTTCTCCACCTAACAGGTGAGATACAAACAGATTATCAGCGTAAACACAGCAAGTGTGTAAAATGGAATGTTCAGAGCTGTAAATAAGAAAAATGGCTGAATGTCTCTGGAATTGTTTTAAACTAGAAATTTTTTTTTAGTTCTTTTAACACAGTGGAACTCAAGATCTGATGATAGAACAACACAACTATTAAATAATACCTTTTTAGGGTCTAAGGTGTCTTTATACATCCAAATTTATCCAAAATACCTCTCTGTTTGTCCAGCAGTGCTGCTGAAATTATGCTGAAAGGTTAGGGGTAGGTGTAGGTTTAGTGTTGAAGTTAAGGTTAGGGTTAGGTTTAGCAGTAGGTTTAGGTTTAGTTTTGAGGTTAAACTTAGGGTTAGATTTAGGCGTAGGTTTAGGTTTAGTTTTGAAGTTAAACTTAGGGTTAGATTTAGGTTTAAGTTTAAAGATTTAATAGAATTTTTCACATTGCATTTCAAGTTCAGTTGCATTTAATAGATACTTAAGTTAGTTAAACATTAAAGACAGACTGAGTCTACAGTGGACTCTAGTCACCATTAATACAAAACATTTTTAATTAGTTTGTTCTCCTTCAGGTTAAATGTGAATTTTATTGTAAAGATTAATTCAGATAGAGAGCACTGGGAGCACAACTCAGAGTGCATGCCTTGTTTTTCAAACTTTTTTCTTTTTTTCTGCAGATTTAATAGTGAAACAGTAGACAACCCTTCAGCGATCTACAGCAGTGTAAAAAGAAAAGCTTGAACTCATAACCTTCACCTATCCATCTCACAACTCCACTAGATTACACAGATTTATTTTCCTGTTTCCTGATTGTTTTTGTTGTTTTTACAAAGTCCCAAAACATGCTGGTTAAGGTTACTGTGACACTGTGTTATCATTTCTGTAAAGATAAACCTTCTTAATAATGTCTTGCATTAATAATCTGCTTATGTGCTTCATGAGTCTGGAAGTAAAACTGATCTGAATGTCTGATGTAAAAAGTGCTTTAAAACAACAACTATTACAATTAATTGATACAGATATATTACACTTCTATGCTTTGAGAATTGATAGTGCGTCAGTAGGATGCAGCGCCCTCTGCTGTCCTCCAGGGAACATTCCAACATGCTTGGGCTACAGAACTGAGGAAAACATAGAAGCTTCATGTTGGCTTATATTACACTGACATTCATATGATTTCATTGTGTAATGAAATCATAGTAAGTCCATTCTGGATGCACCTCATTCTATACAGTGAAGTCATGTGTCATGTTCACTTTTAATGGCATCTTGGGAGGACCTTGTTTCAGACCACTGAACTGTTGACATACTTATCCCAATGAAAAGATGGAAAATTTTCCATTTCTGCTTTGATTAAGTGAATATCTTGTACGTAAACAATTATGAATTTTATGAATTGGGCAAAATAAACTCTGTTTGACACAGTTCTGAAGTTCATTTTACTTTAGTTTCTAGGCAACTGCTAACCCCTAGCATGTTTGAGCAGATTAGAGGCTTTCATAAGAAGGGAAAAGTGAAAAGATAAAAAATAATAATAATAAAAAAAAAAATCCAAAACTTGGGTTAAAAATGAAAGAGAAAGAGAAAAAAGAACTACTAACCACTCAAGATCTTATAGACACCAAAACTGTCCTCATCAGACAAACTGTACTTAAAGCTTCCATCTTTGAGATGATCAAGCTCTACTGTTGTCCAGAAGTCCAGAAGTGTTTTTGCCCAAAATAATAAGAATTTTTTTGTAGCTGTCAAGAAGGACTGAGAAAAGAAAATCTATAAAAAAAGAAGAAGATTTGCAAATCAAACATAGAAGCTGCTGATGTTCTCAGAATAATAGACTGACCACCCCAGAGTCCAGACCTCAATATCACTGAATGTGTTTGGGATCAATTGGATTGTGAGAAGCAGAAAATGCAAAACCACCTGAAAAGACTAAACTTTGTTGTAATAAATATAAAGAGTGGATACACTAAATACTGAAAACGTATCGTATTTAATTCTTAAGTTTTCTACTTCTTTCCTGATGCTTGAAAGAATTAATAATTTAGGCATAAAAAGACAGTGTTTGAGCATTTTAGTAATTATAGTAAGAAAAGTGCAGGTTTTCTTAATAATCTTTACTCAAAACAGTATTTGAACATTAGACTGCAGGGAAGTTCCCAATGAGTTCCTACTTCAAAAGGAGCACTATAGACAGCACAGTAAGACTAGTGACACAAATCAGTCCATGGAGCTGCACTGTCAGCACAATTAAATCTTTCTTAAACATTAACAATACATGCAACAACAATGTAACTGCTGGTGATGTTTTCAGTGTTACCGATTGATTACAGTACCACTGCTTATATAAATAAATGTCTATCTCAGTTATTTCATCAATCGTTACATAAGTAATGCATCTTTCTGTATATAAAAAATGTATGAGTTGGTCTATCCACATTATAAAAGAGAACAGATGGAAATCCTGTACGTGAAATGTTACCTATTGAAGGTGTGAAAAGGGTTTTTCTTTTGAATTCATTGGGATCATAAATTCACACAGTGAAAATCCCCAATTTGACCCATCAGACAGAAAAGCACCCTCTTCCTTTCAGTTGACAAACTGCAGAGACAGTCACAGATACATGTGATTAATAAATATCAAGTGTAGCTGTAGATTTGAACAGATTTATCTGACATTTTTCCAGGTTTGAAAAGCCAAATACATAATTTTAATTTTTGGGAAATGTTTTCCTGCTGAAGTTGACAGTTATCAGAATCAGAATCAAAATCGAAACTCAGCAAGTACCAAAAATACAAGGAAGTGCTCTTGGTGCATGTGTCAAAATGAAATCCAGTAAATTAAGTATAGAAAAAAAAAATATTTACTGTGCATAAACATAAAAGACAGTACAGAAACAATCTGTAATAATACAGAGGATGTCAAGTGGGATAATACAGTTACAGTTAAATACTGGAGTACATATGTACAGTATATATAGCTTAAAGACCTGTGCAGCAAATGTCAATATAAATGTAAACATATCTCTAAAATATGTATATTGCAATAGTTAAAGTTCATGTGTGATGACAGTAGAGGGTGTTATTCAGAATGAATATGCCATTGTACATACAGTGGTTATGTACATTACAGTTTGATCAAAAAAGTGCTTTACAGTGTGAACTCTGCAGTCCAGCAGAGAACAGCTCCACTCCTGAATCATGCAAGTAATTGTTACTGAGGTCCAGCTGTTTCAGGGAGGAGTTTGTTAATTGTGAAGCAGAGCAGAGACTTTAACAGGATTTTGCGGTGATAATACAGCCAGCTAACCTGCAAAACATAATAAGCAGTTAAAACAGCATATGACAAATCAAGTGTCACAAGAATTATGTGAATATTTTACAAAAAAAAAAACTCCTAACTGAAACTTTTCATGCATCTGTGACAATCAGCATAACATTCACTATAACTGACATAATGATATTACATTTATTTATATTGCAAAATGTTGGTTTCACTCCTGAAAGAGATACCTGTATCTGTTTATGTCAAAATTGCAGCAATGGAGGCATATAATGAATGAGCTGAACTTTGAACTTCCGGATCATCACAATTTAATTTTATTTTAATACTGTTACACCAGTAGCTGTCTAGCTAACTGATTTAGATTTTAAGTTATTTCATTACATATTTATATTTCAGCTTTGCATGTATCATCTCTTTACATATCAACTGATTATTGATTTTGAGTAGCTAAGTATTCCCTAACTAGAGATAAGATGCTGTAAGCTAACATATAAAGCTAAATTAAGATTAACATAAAAAAAGCAGGGGGATGTGAGAAGAGTCCTAGTTTAGGAGGATGATAGCCTGGAGGAAAAAGCTGTGGAGAAGGCGATTAGTCAGAGTCTAGAAGAGTGTGACCACGTTGTGAGGGGTCAGGCATGATTTACCCCAGTCTCTTCCCCATCCTAGATGAGGGAAGGTCTTCCAGAGCAGAGAGCCAACAGCCAATGATTTACTCACATCATCTTATTGTGGAAGATGGCCTCATTTTAGTTGCTGACTGGCTGTAAATGATATCATTTCCTTTGTAGCTATAAAGTAAACCCCAGTACCAGATTTTGATCTTTGGATCTCACCAATACTAATTCCAGTTCATTGTCACTTGTGAGGTGTGATGTCATCACTGGTCTGACTGTCTTTGTCTGCAGTTTGTGAAGTGTGAGGAGGAGGGCACTGTTTCTTTGCTTTGAGAAACTGTGAATTTTTAAGAAGAAATACAGATTTTAACAGATACGAATTTTTATTTATTTATGACTCAAGATCACATTGCAAAATGATAACAGACATAATTCCAAAGAGTAAAATACAATATAAGGGCAAAATAAGAGAAAGTCTTTAAACTGTGAAATATAGAAAAGCTGAAACACTTGAGCACACCTCTCAATGTCTTTTTCCTTCACAAAGTTTGCTCAGGACCATAAAACATTGCTCTAGACTCCACTCTGACTCTTCTAGAACACCACACTTTTACATCACTTTGTGTTTTAGTTTAAACACAGTTTATCTAATATCTGCTTCAAGCCTCCCTTAACTGTCTTACCGTGATGATATTAACATGTAAAAAGTTGAGTTCCTGCCTCGTTCTTGTATGTGTGAGCAGTGTTCCTCTTTCACACACACACACACACACACATACAGAGTACATGGGAACTAAAACTTTCACAGGAAAGCATGAACCTGACCTATAAGGGAGGGAAAATATAGAGTGCAGATCAAGTTAATGACAATAACCTGTAGGATTTTGCACACACACACACACACACACACACACACACACACACACACACACATCATTTAAGCTGCTTCTCCTTCTGGGTCGCGGGGGGTGCTGGAACCTATCCCAGCTGTCATCGGGCGGAAGGCGGGATACACCCTGGACAGGTCGCCAGTCCATCGCAGCACACACGTCCACAGAAAGTATAATCCAGACCTACCTCCTATCTGGGGCAGGACAGAGCTGAAAAGTGAACTCAAAGAATAGACACCTGAAACAGAACAGTTCTGATTTGGTTTTTCTGGTTACAAATATATACAAATATATTCTCTTCTTCCACCACATCTTCCACACCTGCCTCATGTTTGTGACCCCTATAGCCCAGACTTAACCAAAGGTTGTAACATCTGGGTACTTGTCTAAGGGATTTCTTTTTGTCCGGTGTTGTTAATTACAATGTTGTTTACATTGTTTGTTGCTGATTGGCTGATGTGGAAGAGTGGGTGTTAGTGGATGGAGTGATTTAGTTTGCAGTTACAGCAGGCTCTGCAATCTCAGCTTTCCAATATGTTTCTGAGGGATGATTGTGTAAATGCTGAACTAAAGTCTAATAAATGTCTTATTTAATTGCCTTTTCTGTCCAAGTGTGCCTGTAAAAGGTGAATGGAATAGACCAGTTAGGGTGATATGTGAACTGGAATGTATCCAGTATGGACATGATTCCCCTTTCAGTGTTTCATTACCTACCGCTTAAAGCACTTCATGATGACTGGAGTGAGTGTTATGGGTTGGTAGTCATTGAGACAAGACAGTTGATTCCTTTGGCACACGGATGGTGGTAGTCTTTTGTAGTGCACTGCAACAACTGCCTCATCAGAGATGAGGAAGATGTCTGTTAGCACATTTCCTAAACAACTGGCCAGGTATATTGTCAGGTCCAGTAGCCTTCTGGAGGTCAACTCTAGAAAAGGTTGTCTGCTATGA